AATAATATAATTTTTTATAAAGATAATAATTAAGTATTATGTTATATAACACAGTAATAATCCTAATTATATTTTAGATTTTTTATATTTAAAATGAAATATTTATCCARTAYTTGATTATRTTTATCTGCAGCTAGTTACACGAATTCAAATACGGAGCTTTAATAAGTTATACTTATGCATTATTTACTTGTAATCTTAAATTTTAAGTAATGTTTATCAATAAACAGTATCTTATGTATAAAAAATGGTTTTAAAGAGTTTTTATAAAATATTTTATAATATAAGTGTATATATATATATATATATATATATATAAATCAATGTTTACAATGTTGTAGAAAAATAATATATTCATCAAAATTGATGCTTTACCATAAATAATGAATAAAAGTAATTTAGAATAGAATAAACGAAGAAGATAACGAAGAGAAAACGACTTTGTGTTACGTCATTAAATAATATTTTTTTTGCTTAAAATAATAAAGTTGTCGTGTTCTTTCTTGTTATTCCCGGACGGAGTATCTCTAATAATTTTATGGTTTCTGTTTCTTTTGACGATTTATTTAAAATAATTAAGAGGTTTTTATAGTATAGTACAAAATGAAATATGATTGTTTGATAATTGTTCAGAATATGTTCTAGGTCTTAAATTATTGAGGAAGACTCAAATACAAAATCATTCAAAAGGTTTTAGAACAATTAACAAGCAGACTTTTTTTTTACTATAGACAATCGCATGTTATACTATTATTCTCTCACATATGATATACATGTGATACTAATTCAGAGACGTAGACGATTTTCGATTGTGATCTTGGTTGTGGCTCAAGTTGCGCTTACACCACTAAGCCCCTTCACAAATATTATTACATATGATAAGAGTGTTATTGATATGATACTATAATGTGATGCTAAATCATAGACGCAGACAACCTTATGATACTAATAAGGGTGTTCCCGTGTTCTCATAAAATAGATGTGTTCTCGTTTTAAGCTCCACCTATATATATATATATATATATATATATATATATATATATTATATCTGTATGTACGTATCCAAGTTGGCTTATGGCACCTCCATTAATTAATCTCATAAAACCCTAAAACTAACCACAAGACAAACCCTCTGACCAGCTCTGAATAACCAGCCAATGATGGAAAACAAATACAATATCTTAACAATTAAGTTACCCCTTATAAATTTAAGGGGATAATTGACGCAATTGGCTTCCTTCTTCATCCACATATACAGAAAGGGATATATATACATATATATATATATATATATATATATTGTGTGTATATATAGAGAGAGAGATAAGAGGTTTACATGGATTCTAAACAAAAGATGCAACATGTATTGTGCATGCCAGCACCAGCCCAAGGCCATATCAACCCAATGCTAAAACTTGCCAAAATCCTTCACTCCAAAGGCTTCTCAATAACCTTTGTCAACACTGAATTCAACCACCAACGCCTCCTCCGATCGCAGGGCTCCGACGCCCTACGTGGCTTCCCTTCCTTCTGCTTCGAGACCATTCCTGACGGCCTTCCAACGCCTGAAAACCTCAATGCCACCCAAGACGTGCCATCCCTTTGCAAGGCCATGGATGAAAAGTTTGTGGTTCCGTTTAAAAGTCTCCTTAACAAACTGAGTGCTTCGGATTCACCCGTGACTTACATAGTAGCCGATGTCATTATGAGCTTCACCCTTGAAGCTGCCATGGAAATGGATATTCCGGAGATACTCTTTTGGACAGGTGGAGCTGGTTCGCTATTATGTATCGAGCAGTACCCGAATCTTTTGGATAAGGGTTTGATGCCCCTTAAAGGTTCCAACTTTTCTGCGCACACACATACACACACAAATCAATGATGAACGAACTAGTTTGTGGTAACCGTGAGATTCAATCTCAACCACAAATCAATAGATAAATTAGAAAATTTATAATTTTGGTAATTTTGAATTAAAATTTTAATTCAAGGACATTTTAAATATTTTATTTCCTCTCTCCTCTCTTCTTTCTCCATCCTCCGCCACCATTCTCCCCGATGATACCATTTTTGTTGCTAATTTATCCTTTTTTATCTACAGATTCGAGTTATTTGGTAAATGGATATTTGGATACAAGCTATGACTGTATACCTTCAATGTCTGGCATACGCCTAAAAGATATCCCTCCTTTTATTAGAATCACCAACCCTGGTGATGAATACATGGTTGAATTCTTTACTAGACAAATAGAAAGAGCGAAAACGGCTTCCACCATCGTTCTCAACACGTATCATGAACTCGAACCCAACATTCTCGACGCCCTTTCTTCTATATTTCCTCCTTGCTACGGAATTGGCCCTTTGAATCTACTCGAGAAGGAAA